TTTCATAAATGTCTGTGGTGAAGCAACGGAAAAATCATGGCCGTATGATTTTTCCTGATTGATTGCTTATGTTGTTATTTTCATAATTTGCCAAATTAATGTAAATGTTTGATGTTAAATTTTGATTCTGTAAATAAACGACCGCATTCATTTTGATGGGTCAAATATAAATGACGTCTCACGTTTGCATTTCCTTAAATTCAATGCACGTTTTATTCAGTTCAGAAAAATGAGGAATCCGCGTTAAATGATGAATATATCTGAGCATCTGTTCATCTACACATAGATATAACTTAGATATAACACAGATATAACATAGATATAACATAGATATAACATAGATATAACATAGATATAACACAGATATAACACAGATATAACACAGATATAACACAGATATAACACAGATATAACATAGATATAACATATATCTAGACGTGTGCCAGGAACATGTGCAAAAGCACCAAAGATACATGAAGCTCTAGATGTTCTGAGGGTTAACTACCAGTTACTGTGTGCTAATACTGTTCTGTAAATAGTCTGCCCTAATCAATGTTCCAACACATATTCATCATTATCATTGATATTGTTTATCTTGTTTCTTTATATATTGTATTGTTTATTAACATTTAGGGACTTTTGTGTGAATCTTGTTATCTGTTGCTGCTGTTACACTTGACTTTCCCCTCCGTGGGACAATAAAGACTGTTTCTGTTCTGTTCTGTTCTGTTCTGTTCTGTTCTGTTCTGTGCTCCATCACACTTAGCTGAAAGACCCAAAGCGAGCGCACAAACAAATCTGGCAGAGCGACTCCAGGGAAGAGTCTGCTACAGAGATCTGCTAATGTCAATACTGCAACAGGACGAGTCAGGTCACGTTTTGTTCTGAACATGCATCCTAACGACCATGAAGGACATCTGAAACTGGCATGTCTTATTTAGGAGAAAGTTTTTTGTTAGTTTTCACATACATGTATATATTTTTTCTGATTAACTATGGTTTTTAAAAGCATGAGACTGAGATTTTTTTTTACCTCATATCTTTTATATTTCAGATTTTTAAAAAATCCTGTCATTTAGAGCATTTATTTGCAAAATAGGACAAGTGGTCAGACTAACAGAAAAAGGTGTCATGTTTTCAGACCTCCAGCTATGCAAAGAAAAAAACAAGGTTATTTGCATATTTAGTCATCACATTATTATTTTAACTTCCATGTGCCTTGGCATGTTCCCCATCAGTCTTACAAATTGCAGTCGTGTTATATTTTTCCCTCGTGGCAGTAAAATTCAATCAGCTCAGCTTTGTTTGATGGCCTGTGACCTCTTTCCCACATCTGTAGCGAGTTCAGGTTTAAAGTTAGGGCTCGTCGTGGCATTAAATAAATCCATCTATCACTGAACCCCACTGAAAACCTGAAGGGTACAGGACACATTTGCCAGTGAATCTAAAACTGAAGCCTTCTTTTTCTCGCTTGAAAGTTATTTTCAACTCTTTGGATATAGTGAATAGTTTTCCCCCAATTACAATTCAAAGTCTTTTTATTATTTTTTTTTATTTTGAACACATAAAACACACAGAACATAAAACAAAAAACCCTCCCAGACCGGATCAGTCATGCATATGAATTAAAATGAATTACACAGACATTGACAAGTTTTCCACATACAACATGAAAGGCTGCCACATGTCCCAAAACCTTTTAACAGAACCCTTTGGGGTATATATTATTTTTTCCAGATATAAAGAAATATTAATAATATTTCCTCCTGCTCTGCTCTCTGTGTGTCTGAAGCGCCTGGGTCTCATCTCCCGAACATAAATTAAGAAGATTATGGATTTGGTATCGTGGGCGTTCAACTCTATTGATAAGATTTTTTCATCAAAGCGACAAGGTCCTGGAGAACCGGCGTGTCCAGCTGAGACTCACGCTGTGGGGTACGTCATGGATTCGTGGGGAGTGTGGCAGTTGATGTGCATCACAGTCCTGTCTCAGGAGGATGTTGAAGACGTTTACATATTTGGATTTATGATAGCAGGGACTCTGCTTTTTGGCATCAGCGGGGCTCTGTTTTATCGACTTTTGAAGAAGACATCAGGAGCAGTTTCGGCCATGGAAAAGTTTCAGAGTCAGTGTGAAGGTCTGGTCCTGGGGGACACGTCTGGTTTCACCGGAGAATAGAAGGAAAAAAAAATATATATGTTTGAGAAGAGATTATTAAAAATTCTAGAATCGTCCCAATTGGGAGCATATACCAAAAACAAGCTCACTGGCAGTGTGTATAACTTCCCCACCACTATAACATAACGCCCAGCATTACCAGCATGTACACTCGAGGCTGTAAATTGTAACTGCTTGCCAACTACCGTGAGAACCGATCAACAGGATGCAATCTCCTCTGTGGTCCACACTGCTCTCAACCACCTGGAGCAGAAAGACTCTTACGTCCGTATGCTCTTTGTGGACTTCACATCCGCCTTCAACACCATGATCCCCCAAACCCTGATGGACAAACTGTCCACACTAGGACTAAGCCCCTCCATTTTCAACTGGGTACTAGACTTTTTAACAAACAGACCACAGTTAGTGAGGATCCACAACTTCTCCTCCCCCATAACCCTCAGCACTGGCTCTCCTCAGGGATGTGTGTTGAGCCCCCTCCTGTTTACTCTGCTCACGTATGATTGTGCAGCTACCCATCCAGGCTGTCACAATGTAAAGTTTGCAGATGATACAGCGGTGGTGGGATGCATCACAAACAATGATGAGTCCAGCTACAGGCAAGAGGTGGAACACCTGGAGAGCTGGTGCAGAGAGAATAACCTTCACATCAATGTGAAGAAGACAAAGGAGATGATTGTGGACTTCAGAAGGAACAAAAACACCTACACCCCCCTGAACATAAGAAGATCTGTGGTGGAAGTGGTCTCCAGCTACAAGTACTTGGGTGTACACCTGAACAACAACCTCAGCTGGAGCAACAACACCACCAGCCTGATCAAGAAAGCTCATCAGAGACTCTACTTCCTCAGACGGCTGAGACGAGCTGGTCTGGAAGCTCAGTCCTCACCTCCTTCTACAGGTGTGCAGTAGAGAGCATCCTGTGCTCCAGCATCAACGTGTGGCATGGAGGCTGCACAGCTGCAGAAAGAAAAGCTTTGCAGAGAGTGGTGAAGGCTGCACAGAAGATGTTGGAGTCAGTCTCCCCACCATCACAGACATCTACACCTCCAGATGCAGGAAGAGGGCCACCTGCATCATGAAGGACCACATTCACCCAGCACACACACTTTTTGCCCCACTCCCCTCAGGAAGGAGGTTGAGGAGCATTAAGTGTAGAACCACTAGACTGAGGAACAGCTTCTACCCTGAGGCTGTTAGACTCATGAATCTCTAACTAGAATAATCACTGTGAAAAACCATATCATGTTGCTGCTGATCTGTTTCATGATGCTGCTGATCAGTTTCATGTTGCTGCTGATCTGTTTCATGTTGCTGCTGATCTGTTTCATGTGGCTGCTGATCTGTTTCATGATGCTGCTGATCTGTTTCATGTTGCTGCTGATCTGTTTCATGATGCTGCTGATCTGTTTCATTGTTGATGTGTTCATGCGTGCACATCTGCTCACAGACTCATGTTCATGTTTGTGCTGATGTTCAATGTTTTATGTTATGAGTGCTTAGTGTATATTTAGTTGATGTTTTTCTTAGTTCATATCTTAGATGTCATTACTGTTTTTCTTAGACATTTTATTGTTGGATGTAACTGGGACCCTGTGTACATAATTTCGCTCCACCACATGTACCACATGAGGTGCGAATGACAATAAAGAACCTCTGACTCTGATTTATAATTGGATTGAAACTAAGGGTGCAAATCTCTCTGTGTCTGGTGATTCGATTCCAATTTTTGGTGTCAAGATTCGACTCAAAATCGATTTTTCTATTGAAATGATCATAAATTTAGTTTTAGTTATAATGTATATGTAACAGACAAGTTGAAAAGATTAAACAACAATGTAAACAAATAGAACATTTATTTAAAACAGTAATTTTGTTCTTTACTGTATCAAATATTTTTGATTCATTTTATATTTATACAAAAAAAATAAAAGTACAGTAGTGCATAAAAATCTGTAACTGTAATTACCAGTATTAGGTTAGCTTAGCTGCCTGGATAAATTAAAAAATAAAACAATAAAAAAATCTAGGAACAAATAATTCATCCATCCATCGTCTTTATCCACTTCTTCCTTTTCGAGTCACTGGT